TATGGAACATGTAAAAAACGGTTTGTTGGTTTTTTTACAATAACTTTTTTAGCAATAAACGCAGGAAAAAGTGGAAATGCGCTAAAAAAAAGTTCAGGTGCTATACACTTACATTTCAAATGGGTGCTCAATCTCTGAACTGTGGGAAATATATCTAAGCTAATCGCATCGCTTCAGATGGTACAGTTGCACATTTTGGCAATTCAGGAATTCACGAATTCATGGATCCGGAAATTCATGCTCTCTTCACGTCAGTATTTGAAGATCGCAGTGCCCAAAAATCTTAAAACCTTCACGCACGTTGAAACATTTTAAAATTCAAATTTTGGATTTTCAAAACTTTTGAGATTAAAAAGTTCAGGTGTTACGTAGCTAATCAATTTAAAGTTAGTACATGCTGTCAAAAATGTTTTTTGTCTCGAAGCTTTACACATACTGCATAAAAAGTTTTTAAAATTTCGGTTCAAACTTCCATTAATTTTTTTTAATTTTATTTATTTATTAACCCTAGCCTTTCGGCTTCGGGGACTCTTAGGTATGTACATAGCATATATATGATACTAAGTAAGTTTCGATATAAACAAATAAACTTTATATTGCATTTTAATCCAACAACATCAGAAATAGCTAAATAATGTTTATTCTTATTCCTCTCTTTTCGCTTCCTCCCTTCTCTGCAACATCCTTCTCAGTCGATTCCCCTTCCATCTTCCTGTAATATTTCCTTTACTGTTTCGCTCGTCTTGGTTTTGCTGCATCTGTATATCACGTGTTCTATCGTCTCTGTTTCTTCCTTACATAGTCTGCACTTTTCTTCCTTCCATCTTTTCCCGGTCCTGTTTTCATTTCCGCATCTAAATATTGCAATGGTTTTTATATTTTTGTTGTTCTTCTGTAGATATTGTGGCAAGTACAATGTTTTTATTTCTTTGTACGTGGTATTGTAGGTGCTGTTTTCTATTCGATTGATTTGGTATTTTATTTGGTTGTCTTTGTCTCTCTCCTTCATAGTCATTGATATATTTACTCTCTCGCTCTCCTTAATCTTTCCGCCTCATCTTCTGCATACCAGTTCATTTGGAAATATATTCTTCTTTCTTCTGTCCACTTTGCATTTTCGGTCTTCTTTCTCTCCTTGAGAGTTTCCTTTAGTAATCCGTTTTCTCCTCTTTCTATCCTTTCTTCGTATTTAAATGCTCTATATCCCGCTTCTATCCTCATCTTATCTTGTTTGGTTTCCTCCTGAAGTATGTAAGTTGGAGAATCTCTTGCCAATCCTAGGATCCATTTTAGGTATTTGTTTTGTATCCGCTCGATGTCCTCTATCTCCTTCCACCCCCATATTTTTGCCCCGTACATCACTGTGCTTTTGATCAGGTAGTCGAACATCATTTTTTGATTTTATAGTTATTTTTGAATTTTCTTTCTGCTATGCTCCATATCTGCGTTATTAATTTTATTATTTTTTTTTTATTTGTCTTAAGTGAGCACTGGGTCCTCCGTTCTTCATTAGTGTGTACCCAAGGTATTTAAATTCCGAAACTTCTTCTATTTCCCTTCCTTCGATTTTACACGATGTCTCTTCCTTCTTCATTTTGCAAAAACCATTATTTTTCTGGGTTTATTATGAATTTCTTTCTTCTTGCGTAGGTACCTTTCTAATTTTGTGATTATTTCCTTCATTTGTGATTGCTTTGTTGCCAGGAGCACCATGTCATCCGCGTATGTTAATGACCATATCTTTTGTCCTCCAATTTTAATTCCTCCTGCTTGCCATTTTCTTAATGCTTCGTCCAGGTCCGCTACATAAATGTTGAAAAGAGTTGCACTTAGCGGACATCCTTGCCTGACTCCATTTTCCGTCCAAAAATAGTCTGAATGTTTGTTATTGACTTTAACTTTACTCTTTGTTTGTCTAAAGATAATTTTAATAATTCGTTCCTGTCTAGATTATCGAATGCTGCTTTTAGATCTATGAATATGGCGTAGACTTTGCCTCCTTTCTTTTCCAGTTCTTGTTGTACTGCGTGATTTATTATGTATATGTTGTCTATCGTCCCCCTTTCCTTCCTAAAACCCATATGTGTTTCATCTAGTATTTCTTTGTCCTCTACTTCTTCATTGAAGCCGTTGTTTAGTATTTTAGCGTAAAGTTTGTAAGTTGAGTTTAGGAATGTGATTCCCCTACAGTTTTTGGTCATCTTCGTTTCCTTTCTTGTATATTGGGTATATTATTTCTCCTTCTTTCCAACTTTCAGGAAATCCTCCCCCTCTCCATACCCTGCTAATAATTTGTCTGATTTACTGTTTCACGTTTTCTGGCGCATGTATTACTATCTCATTTATTATTCGGTCTGGTCCAGGGGCTTTTTTTTTCATCTTTGATATTTCTTCATCCAATTCTTCTTCCCCTATTTCTTCATCCTCCTTTTTACTTCTTCTTTTCGTTTTTTTCCCCTCTGAAGCTTATCTGTCCGTTTAAACTTTGTATAAAGTAGTTTTTCCCTTTTCTGTCGTCCGGTATTCCTTCTTTATTTTTCCTCTCTTTGTTTATAAGTTTCCACACTTCATTTTCGTTTTTGATGCTTTGTATTTCTCTTACTTCTTCTTTTTGTAATTCTTTCTTCTTTCTTAATCCTTTTCATATTCATGTGATTGTATATTGTAAACACTCTACATCGTACATCTTTTAGTATCATTTTTCTTTCTTGTATTCCATTTTCGAATTTCCGCATACTTTTTTCAGTTTTTATCGTTTTTCTTACACCTGTTAATATTCGTCCTTTGGCTCTTCCTTTCTTGTTTTCCTTTTTGGCGTATTGATATTCCCATTCAAAATCTTTCAGTAGCTTTTTCTCCAAATTTTCCCAATATTTTTCTTCGACCCGTACCTACTTCTGTCATGCCGATTACATCATAAGTTTTCACGTACTCCCAAAATTGTTCATCCTTATTGCTGATTCCCGCCACGTTCCAGAATCCAATTTTGATGTTTCCTTTTTTTTCATGTTTTCTTTTTTCTATTTTTGTTTGTTTTTGTTGTCACCTATTGTTCCTTTGTTAATTGTTTGTGTGATCTCCCCCCCCCCCCCCCTCCTTCCTTGATTGTGTATGCTTGTTCACTTTTTTGTCGTTAAATTACCATCTCTTTCGTCCCACTTGAACCATGTATCATTATTATCATGAGCTTCATATATCCCATTTTTGTTGTATTGCCTTTCTCTTTTTCTTCCTCCATCCTTTCTCGGATCTTCTTTTGCACTTCTGTTTCTGTAAACGTCAGGTCGTTATCGATATATCCCTTTTTATCTCTTAGGGTTTGTCTGTTCCTCATGATTCCATTTTTTTCCTCCCAATTTGTACATTTTATTAGAATCCCTATTTTTCGTTCTCTATTTTGTATTGGACGGGCTTCTGTAGTAGAAATATTTATTTTTAATCAATTCTTAGGAAATTTATTGCGTCGGTTTCCTTAATATTATTTGCACCTATTCCTTTAATTATAACGTAATTTTTTTTCTTCCTCCTTTCCTCTTTTTCCAGTCTCCATTCTAGTTTGTCTATTCTCTCCGATAGTTCTCGTTGTTCCATTTTTCTTCCTTCTCTTGATTTTGCCCCTTCAGTTCCTGCATTTCCTTTTTAAACTCTTCTCTCATTTCCGTTACTTCCTTTCTGACGTCATTTCTCATTTCCATCATACTCTTGTTAAAGGTTATCATCATGTTTTTAATTTCCTCCGTGTTTTCGGGTTTTTCTCCTGTTTTTTTCTTTCTCTTCTGTCTTTGTTGTGGGCGGTGATCGGTAGATTGTGCTGCTTTTTTGTAATTGCTCTAGTTCGACTTCCAATTGTTTCTTTGCCTCTTCCTCTTC